TGACTGTTCTTGCAGAAGACCCAGGTTTGAATCCCAACACCCACATGGCAGCTAACAACTGTCAGTAAGTTCCAGGGGATCTGACAGTCTCTTCTGTCCTCCATGGGCATAGCATGACATGGGTGCACTTACCTACATGCAGGCAATACATGCATACACATAAAATAAAAATAATAAAGAAAATGTTTTTTTTTAAGTTTTTAAAAAGAAGTGAGAGGGGTTTGTTTGTTTGTTTGTTTGTTTGGGGTTTTTATTCCTCCGATTTTTGAAGGAATTCACAGAAAAGCCATATAGGAGATTACTGGCAAAGCCAACATGGCACCTTGGCCCTCTGAGTCTTGATGTCCAGGGTGGTGGTAGTGATGAGATCCTGTCCCTAGGTTTAGTCTGCTGACCAAGTACCTGCTTAATGCACAGTGCAGTAGCAGAAACTGAGGCAGACATAGGAACAGAGGAGCTGGAGTGGGGTCCATTTACTGCTGTCATTGAGATGTGCAGTAGCCATGGTAGTAGCTCACTGACAGCATGTTCCCCCACACTGCCTTCCCATTGGCAAGTCTTTGTAGGGCAAGTCCCACTGGAGACTGCTTTGGTGAAGAGCTTTCTGTGAAACCTGTTGAGAAGCCACCTGCTAAGTAGTTAGGAAATGTACAGGTGAGGATAACGTGCATGCTTCCAGTTACAGCTCTTCCTTCTCTCAGTATGTCAGCAGTGAGCTTTGCAGTTGTCCCTTAACTGTGTGCAGCACTTCTTGGAGCTGCAGCTGTGACCTCATCTTGAGTTTCTTGCTGGTCCACTTGTATTCACTGCTGTGATTCTTCTCACACAGTAGTTCTGTCAGAGGGAGGCATGGTGTGGAGATGTTGGCAAGAAACCAAAAGGTTGGGATTTGCTCCAAGGAGCACCACAGACGCGAGCTGGCCAACTGTGGGCTGGGGCATGTCCCATGTTCGTAAGCACTACCAGCAAATGTGTCACCCTACTGTTTCACAGCACTGGGATGTGACCCATGTTCTTGGGGGTACTGTAGGATGAAGGGAAAGGAGAAGTGGCCAAGCCCCTTGGAATTCTCCTTGGTACTGCTGGTTCCCCAGGACATGACAAGAGCCAGTTCAGCCTGAGCACAGTAGATGGATGGGCATCTTTCTGTTCTGTTTGCCATTGGTCTTCCAGGGACCCTAAAGCATTGAGTGATTTTTATGGAATCCCAGTCTTTGGGACACCATTTGGCTTTGGTGCCCTGGGAGCCTGTCCACACATTTGCACGACACTTCACAGCTGCAGAGCGTTCTCAGGACTGCACTGGAGCCATATGGCACTTTAAACTCAGAACATGTCCTGGGACTGACCAGATGTCTTACCATTGTGACTCAAACCTGGGTCTCCTTCCCCATCACCACTTTTCAGAGACGTGTTTTCTTGATAAATGGCTGCCTTCCTCTAATTAATTTGTGACAGACCTTCCCACTGTACATAATCCTTGTCAGTGACAATGTGACCCTAGTTTTGTGTCTTAGGTAACTAACAATTGGCCAAAGACTTAAAAGGATTCAAAGCTTACAGGGATCAGGAGGCAGGGACCTCTGCATGAGACCAGGTGAGGGGGCTGGGAGATGGCTCAGGTGGTAAAGTGCTATGCAAGCATTAAGACTTAAGTTCAATCCCAAGCACTCCAGTAAAACCAGCTGTGTCGGTGTGTGCTTCTAATCCCTGCACTGAGGAGGTAGAGACTGGCAGATCCCTGGGGCTCAACAGCCAGCCATCATAGCCCAGTCAGCAAGTTCCAGGCAAAAGTGAGGAACCCTGTCTCAAAAAGCAGACTCATATCCCGATGAACAAGACCCAAGGGTGACCTCTGGGTTCCATGAACACCCATGCACACATACAAACGTGTATGTTCTCTCTCTCTCTCTCTCTCTCTCTCTCTCTCTCTCTCTAAAACTCTCTGTGTCTCTCTTGCGCTGTCTCTCCCTACACACACGAGTACGCGTATAATTGTATAGAGAG